AGGAAGAAAGAAAGAAAAGAAAGGGAAAGAAGAAGAAAGGAAGGAAGGAAAGAAAAAAAATCTTTCAGTGCAGCAGAAGGAAGGGAACACGTTAGTTCCGTTCCCTTCTCCCACATTCTTTCATCTCAAGGTCATTATGTAACAACTGAATGCTATAGGTAAATGGCTGGTCCTCAAAGTCAGACTTCCTCCCCACTCATCCCACACCACTCTGTTGCGTAAATCCAAGGAAGGGCTCAGCCTTGGCTGTTTAGGTTTCTCTTTCCCTGAGGAAGATGTGCCCAGGCTTAATAAAAGCAGGATGTGTGAGAGACACTGCAGTTCTTTCATATCTTAATTAGCAGTTAATTAAGTGGAGGTGCTGCTGTCTGGAATATCTGACAGATTCCATAATTATCTTTTATTATTATTACTAACGGAAAATGTGATCAGGGAGTTCAAGTTTTCCCAGAATCTCAGGTTTAATTGAATGACCCAGTGGAGGATCAAAACGAACAGGCTGCCCTTTCTACATTGTTTTATTAAAAATATTTTTAAATTGAGTGGTGCCCTGCATTCAGGAGCTTTGTCGGTGATCTCTAACTAGGCCTAGAGGAAGCCTGGTGTGCCACCTTGGGGTTGCAGGGTCCCTCTAGGAAAGCGCACAGTCACATTTTGATGACTGTACCAGCAGCATTTTATTAACACCCTGCTCCTCCTCCCAGGGAAGGTCTTGGTTTGGAGGTCAGAAGACATTGCTTTATGGCCTGAACTGGAGAAGAGAAGGGAGGCACTTTTTAAATGTTGCCATAGTGATATAGCCTCAGTCTTTTATAGACGTTCCATCCAGAAGGTGCAGCAAATCCCTGACTTGATGTTGGTGGCTCAACAACCTCATGCTTACACTGGCGCGGCGGACCAACCTGGCTGAGGCTGGCCATGCCTGGAGGACTCACACGGTTGGGTGTCCTGAGAGATATCGAGGAAAGCAAGCTGGGGCCTGCCTCCCTTGTATCCTGAATTCACATGGGGTGGACTCTCCACAGTAGTTGTTTAACAGTGACTAGACAAGCCATTCTAAGCCTTCAGAATCTTCTAGAGCTTCCTTGGGACAGCTGAATATATGTCAGACTACCTTCTCACCTCAGAGAGAGCTGCACAGTGTCACTATCCACACACGGGTGTGTGTTTGTGCAGATTGTATCATACCTCCTAGATTTAGTGCTATCTCATTCTCGTGATTTTTTTTCTTCCCTTCCTTCCTTTCTTATTCTTTCCCTTTCTTTTCTTTCTTTCTTCCTTCCTTTTCTCTCTCTCTCTCTCTCTTTTTTTTTTTTTCCAGACAGAGTCTTGCTCTGTCACCCAGGCTGGAGTGCAGTAGCATGATCTCGGCTTGCTGCAACCTCCATCTGCTGGGTTCAAGTGAGTCTCCTGCCTCAGCATCCCAAGTAGCTGGGATTATAGGCACACACATTGTATTTTTGTAGAGACGAGGTTTCACCATGTTAGCCAGAATGGTCTCTATCTCCTGACCTTATGATGCACCCTCCTTGGCCTTCCAAAGTGCTGGGATTACAGGAATGAGCCACTGTACCTGGCCCTCATGATTTCTAAGTGGATTATTTGCATGAGTCCTCACACTCTGCCCAAGTGCATCAGGGCTCTGACCTGAGTGTCTGGCAGGTTCTAAGTGGTGTCAGTTGGTATCCTTTATCCAGTGAGCAATTTCCATTATTCATAATTTATGATTCAGACAAGATCATTCATCAGGTCTAACAAGAGACTTGAGATCTGTGGGACAGCTGGTACTAGAAGGGCTGCAGGATTCTGGCTTGGCTTCTGGGCTGCTAAGGTGAAGACTGGCTGGCCCTGACTATAGTGGCTGATATGGTTTGACTCGGAGTCCCCACCCAAATCTCACCCTGAATTGTAATAATCCCCACATGTCAAGGACATGACTAAGTGAGGATTGGATCATAGGGCGGTTTCCTCCATGTTGCTCTTCTCACGATAGTGAGTTCTCAGGAGATCTGATGTTTTATAAGGGGCTTTCCCCCCTTTGCTTGGTCCTTTTCTCTCTTGCCACCATGTGAAGAAGGACGTGTTTGCTTCCCCTTCCACCATGATTGTAAGTTTCCTGAGGCCTCCCCAGGCCTGTGGAACTGCGAGGTAATTGAACCTCTTTCCTTTTAAATTACCCAGTCTTGCGCGTTTCTTCATAGCAGTGTGAGAACAGACTACTACAGGGCCGCACTGAGAAGTGCAGAATCCTTTTTCCAGAAAGGGGCTGCATGTAGCTTCCAGCCTATATTCGTGGTGCTTAGAATTGGCTCTTTGCTGCGGTCCCTGATCAGCATTCCCTGTGCCTCAGTGGCCCTCCAAGTGAAGAAATTACAGTCTAATAATCCTACCTGCAGCAGATTCAGTGCATGAAAAATAGATTAGCAATGAGCTCTACATCTCGACAGCTTCATTACTATACCAAGTGTTAACAGTGGCGCTCTCTGGATGGTGTTTTTCAATCTTTGTCTTTTTCCACTTAGTCTGTATTTCTTAACTCTGCTATGATGTTTATATTTGGCTTTAGTAGTGAGAAAACGAATAATATTTTGAAATTTTTGAAAGCATGGAATTTGGAAAGCATTATTTTATCAAGCTTTACAGCAATGGTTCTTAGCCTGGGGTTCACAGAGGGTCCATGAGCTTAGATGGAAAAAGCTGCATCTTTAATTTCACCAACTTTAGCTAAAATTTAGCAGTTCCTCTGATTTTAAATGTAGGCAACAAGTCACAGTAGTATCAGCAGAAGCTATAATTTTGTCACCAATAGAAATCACAGATATTTTTATATCTCATTACAGTTGTTGCAGATATGTTGAAATATTGTTTAAGCTTATTGTGAACTTCAGAATTACAGTAGTTATTAGACCTGCCAGCAGATCTTGCTATTTACTGTGTTAATAAACACATATATTACTCTACCACAAATTTGGTTTAATATTTTGATAGTGATATTTCAATAAAAATGTGGTTTCCTTTGTAATCTTATATATCTTATTTTATACATTCCTATCATTATTCTGAGAAGGATTCCTATGCTTCACCAGGTTGAATTTTTTCAACCATGCCTTTTTTCTGGCATGGTCCATTTTCTAATGAAACATGCCATTAAAAAGGGTCAGAACCCTGGCTTGGGGAGGAGGAAATGACTAGTGTCTGTGGACACTGCCTTGGCTAGGGCCTGGGTGTCCTGGACACTGCCCTGCTGAATCCTCACCAAGAGTCAAGGAGGAAAGTTTTCTCGTTATCCCCATTTTACAGTCAGGAAACTGAGACACAAGGCAATTATGTAACTTGTTCAAGGTCAGTGAACTTCCAAGTGGCAGAACTGAAAGGAGAGCTCAGGCAGGCAGGAGCCAGACAGCCTCCTTTGGCCTTCCTTCTGTTAGCACCACAGATGAGTCAATATTTAGTGTACTCCTTCGTCTGTCTGTGTGGGGCCAGGTCATCCACTGATGCCTGGAAGTTTGAGGGAAGTGTGTTTGACCTTCCCAGCTAGCATACAAGTAACCCAAGGGCAGAGTCTGGGCTGGGTTTTTTTTGTTCATCCCTTCCATGCACCAAAGGAAGCGGAATTAAGGAATTCTATTTCTCTGAGCACTGGGATAATTAGCAAATATTATAGAAATTTAGTCATTGAAGGTACCCCCGGACCCCCAATTCATGTTCAGGCCTCATATTGGGAGTGTCCTTCTTGGCCAAGTGGGCCCATTCTTTTTGGTAAGACTTCCTTCAAGCCAGGAGTGCCCCCTAGCCTTCACTCTGCCTCTTCCCCACTCCACCTTCCATTCCCACTTTTTTGCCCACAGTCTCTCTGCATGCAAAGGAAGCAGGATGTTCAGGTGGCCAGAGCTTGACAGAGACGAATGCTTCATTACCAGGAGGCCTCGGTGCAGATCGTTAAGTGATCACCAAACCTGGAATGCCACACTGGAAGGGCACCCCTTGGAGAACACTTACGGGCCCCTAATTGCATTTGCTAGCCATCAATCACCAGGGTAATTTCCTGTCTTGAGACATGTGCTTTCCTCAGTGAAAGAAGCCAAAAATGAGGCCAAAAAGGAAAAGATAAAGCTTCAGAATGAAAGAGAGTTCTGGTCCTCTCTTCACCCGATATAAAGCCCTTCTTTGCCCAGGTGTGGATCTAGGGGAATATTTCTTCTCCCCTTTAAATGGCTCTTGTAGGGCAGGTAATTGCTTACCCAGTGCTTGGCTGGCAAAGTTGTGACCTTCAGGAGCACTAGCCTGAGTACATTTCTTCCTGATGGTGGCTCTCAGGCCCTCCTCCAAGGTAGCCAGTTCCCTCTCTAAGGATCTGACTTGAGGGACAATTTTATGACTGGCCCAGGAATCTCTGTCATCTCGGAACAAGTTCAATGTTAATTTGCTTGATATCGTCCTCTCCCCTGGATCTGCAATTAAGAGGGGATGAGTTCCTAGAGTGATAAAGTTTGGCTTCCCAGGCCTTTGATGAAGGACTCTGCTCTGGATTAGGTTGGGCTGTGTCCAACCTAAAAACCCTTCTGTGTCCCCATCAGTCAACATGAGAGTGGAGAACACAGGACTCTCTGAGCAGATGGCACAGATAGCACCTAAGTCCATTTCCCTCGTCAGGGGCCTAGCCAGGCATCTGTGTGGACCAGGGCCTGCTTCTGGGACTATGAACTGGTGGGGAAATGGTGCAGAACCGGGCAGGGGGGAGCGGTTCCAGTCAAACAGGAAATGGATCGAACTAAGAGTCAAGTGCAAATCCAGTGGGGACATGGTTGCCATTTTGAATGGGATAAACTCTCCAAGGTTACAATGTGCCTTCAAGGATCCTACAATGTCAGTTCAAACATAAATGTAAGAGGGTGAAACTGTTGAAAGCAGGGTCACAGTCACAATGTGACTGTGTCACAGGCCACATTGTGACCTCCCCAAGGTCACAATATGGAGAAGTATTTAAGAAACCTGAGCAAGGGCAAAATAGGGAGGCAAAGCTAAAGCTGAAGAGCTTAGTGCATATAGGAGCAGGCCAGGATGTTGGACACAAGGCCGGAACAACGCACAAGGGGTCCACTAGGCCACGACCATGGCTGGGTGTTCAGAGTTGCTCTATCCAGGTGCCAACCTGTGGAAAATGGGAAGCGGAGGTCCAGGATCAAAGCCAGCTACAGTGTGACTACAAGACCACTGTCCTTTGGGCTACGATGGTTTGAGCAGTCTCAACTTAGCAGAACCTGTGTTCAGGTGAGAAAATTCCCTGAGGAAAAAAAAAGGTGGAAGATATTTTCTTTAGAGTTCATTTCCAAATATGGAGGAATAAGAGATTACTCCAATGTGGAGGAGTGTTGATTGTGGGTTAATACAAAGTAGGCCCTGGAAATGGAAAATATATTTTCTTTAGGCAGCAACTGGATCTTCAAATATCAAAATTCAGTCTGAAACCTTGACTTCTTGGGGTCCTGGTATGATCCAAAGTTGTTGTCTAGCCTTATGTTTTAGAGCGCACTATTACTATGGAGGGTGAGTTGATTCCTCTTTGGATGAGACTGTCCAGGGTGCTGCAGGTTGATTTCCGTCCATGGCGTCCATCCATGCTGTGCTGGCATGCCTTCCAACAGGCATTTTGATTACCAACAATACCCCTCCACACACACACATTTCCAAATATTCCCAGGGTGGGAGGGAGGAGGCAGGCAGGACAGACTCTGGCTAATCCAACTTCTCTCTTGGTCTACAGGAGGGTTGCTGATGCCCCAGATGTTGGGATTATGCTGAAGGACTTGAGGCAGAGGCTTGGCAGTCTCTCAGACCCTGAGATGTCAACTTAGTCAGAGTTGGCCAATTCCCAAGTGGTGGATTTTCAGGACAAGTCCATCCTCATGGGGGAAGAGAAAACCATGCTTTCAACAGTTTCGCCCTCTTACATTTATGTTTGAACTGACATTGTGAGATTCCTGAAGGCACACATAGTAACTTTTTCATCCGAGTCTCCTCAGTCGGTGAGGGCCTGATGTATATGAAAATACGGCCTTGAAAAAGACCAGAGGCATGCTCCCAAATAAAATTCCACTTAGCTTCTCACAGGGCAGTCAACTGTTTGCATAGTTCCCCAGGAAAAGAAAAAAGGAACAAACACCACATTGCTGATCACTTATTACCAGCAAAAGCTAAAAATTGCCGGAGATGAAGAGAATAATAAGAAATGGCTACTGTTCTTGAGAAAGAAGCTCACAGACCAGGAAGAAGATGCAGTCATGTACACATGGAGGAATGTCCACATGGTTTTGCATCCAGGGTTTAATGGATACAAACTTCCTGGAAACCCGTGTGTGGAGTCTGGGAAGGCTCCCCTGATTTCAGCGGAGAGGAATCAGATGAAGATGGAATTGTCAAAGTTCAGAGATGGGAAAGAGTATCTCAGGCAGAGAAAAACAGTTGTGCTGAGACCTGCTGGCTCTCAAGTTTTACCTGAAATCCGTATTCTCAGATGAAGTTGAGGAAACACACACACACTCTCTGATTGCCTTACTGACTTTAGGAACCTCACAGTTCCTTCTGGAAATACACCAGAACCAAAAAGGCATAGCCTGAGTCCAGGCTGTGGCGCATGCCCTGTGACTGGAAAGCCTTTGCAAAACCCTCCAAATCTCAGTTTCTAAAACTCACACATCTACCATTAGATGTATACCTTTATGTTATGATTTGCCCTTCCCGGAGATATTTGCATTGTAAACCATAAGATACTCACACTGTAGCATAAACTAATTTCATCAGTTATTGGTCTGGGACACCGAAAGAGAAGAGGGATGTAAGGGCTGCCATGGAGGACATCAAACGGAGAGAGGAAGAATGGTAAGACCACCAAGAATAGAGATAAAGAAGACAAATTGAATGTCTCTCACACTTTCTGTGCATTTCCAGAAAGGATGGCAAAAGAGGCACCGACTAACAAATCAGTCTCAGGTGCAGAGTCGGGATAAAGCGGGCACTGCATTTTTTTGGTTTTTGCTTTTGCAGTCAGACCACATTACTGCCACGGCAATTCCCTCACAACTAGTCCTTCCTCTGATCCCGCTAAAAAGTGCCATCCTAATAACCGAGGCTGCATGTGACCTCCCTGCATTCAGAAGCTGTGGAAGAAATTTTAGGCAAGGATTCACCTTCCCCTGCGGCCGAGCACTGCTGATCATACTCTTAGAGAATCCTTCAGCTCCAGGGTTTGACTCAAATCTTTGCATGGTGATGCCAGACTCCCAGGAGGGCCAGATTTATCAGAACCTGGGGGTGGTGAGGGGAAGGGAAAGATTTTCAGTTTCCTTTCATTGGTCAGGATGGCTGTAAGAATGTCACAAAGCAGACGCCGGTTGACTCAAGAGAGCTGATGGTTCAGGAAAGGGCCTAGCTCTCAGCGCTGTTGCTGTGACAGCCCAGTCGCACCTACAGATAGCCCTGGCCTAGAGCTGGATGGTTTGGTCTCCTTGGGCGCAGACAAGTACCCCAGCTCAGCTTTGAAAGAGTACAGCCAGACACTTGTCTCCTGCACTTTTCTTTCTTTACCATGCTTTCTGCCCCACCCAGCATTCACTTCAAATCCCTCTACCCTCCTCTTTCTCAGAGCTAGCCGCTTCTCTCAGCCCTTATTATCTCCAGCCTGGTTCACCTCCACCTCCTTTCTGCTCACTGGGTTTCCTGCCTCCACTCAGCTCACTTCCAATCCATTCTCCATGCTATTCCCAGAGGATTTTTCTAAATCAAATCCATACAAGTTATTTCTTCTTAAAACTCTTAAGGCTTAAGGTGTGCCCAATGCCCATTACGACCTGACCTCACTTATTTCCCCAATCTCCTCTCTCAATGCCCACCCTCCCCTGCCTCCTCTCTGAATTCTAACCGTGCTTGACTGCATACATATTCCCAATCCCCAGGCTCGCTCACCCTGTGTATTTGCATCTGTTGTTTCATCTGCATAGAAACGCCAGCCTGATTTCTATTTATTCTCCAGAATTCACCTCCTCCAGGAAGACTTCCTGACATTACAGGGATGGGTTAGATGCCATTCCCTCCACCTCCCGTCTTATACCATAAAATCTCGTAATAACCTTTTCCGAGTTGTGTTGCAGTTGCCATGTATAAATCGGCATATCTTTAGCACCTGGCTTTAGCTTGGCCCACAGGAGAGGGTCAATAAGTATCAAACCAAAGCAGGAAGGCTTAGGGCTCCCCATGGCAGCACCCTGCCTCTATGGCTTGGAAAACTCAATTCACTCTGTAAAGGGAATGAGTTCACATTAAATACTGCTGTATGCTGCTAGAAACTGTGTGCAGAGGGAAAACAAACAAGTGATTAAGTAATGGCAGGCAAGTATTTCACTAAGAGTCCTATCCAAATAAAATAACAGGAAAAGTGCCTTTCAGTACTGATTAACCACAGCTGAGAATTAAAGATCATTTGTAACAAATCATTACAGTCAACTGATTAAAAATGAATGAGTTTGTACAGAGAACCATTACTGAATCTGGGGCTGAAAAAAGACAGTTAAAGCATATTAACATGAAACTCCCAACCTGTCTATACATTGCTGCACGAGGTTGATCTACCATTTATACCAAGGGGATGCCAGAGGTGGAGACAAGCATGCATTTGAGTTGGAGTTCTGCTTGGGGTTCAACCCCATCCATGACTCTATGAAACTGGTAAAGTCTCTCTAAGCTTCCATTTTTGCTACTAAAAAAATGGGGTTAATATCACCACCAATGTTAGATTGAACCATATGAAATTGCCAACATTTGACCACATTTGGCTGATAGCGATGCCAAGTTCATATGGCTTAACCTTAAACTTGCCAAACAGGGCTGTTACGGGGATCGAGATGAGATCATGTAAACCAGAAGATGCTCTACGAATGCAAGCCACCGGAAGTACCTCCTGCCACCAGGGTAAGACAGTGACAACTGGCAGCAGTGTGGTGCTCAGCTTGGCATGCTACTGTACCTGGGGAGAAAGACCAAAAGAAAAGAATTCCTCCAATCCCAATGCAGGCCCTCCCTCTCTCAGCCCTGTCTTTCCTCAAAAACACTATGCCTGTCCTCTCTGGCATTTTATTTGTAAGTGTAAGCTGTATTTAGTGTAAACCCACAGGGAGTTTGGAAGGGGGCGCTGCATGCTTGGATGCACTTAGCCCACCGCATCTCATCACGCACCTGCCCCTGGTATGAGGAAACCTTCGAATCTGAGTGACTGGCATAAAATGAATCCTGTATGAGTATTTGGTTAAATAAATGAATGACCAAATGAATGAGTTCTCAAACCCTTCTTGTCCTGTTGCTTGTTCTTTTGCCATCTGACAGAGCCCTAATAGAGGATAAAGGCACTTCCCACCTACACCTCCAAGCAGTGGAATTAACATAATCACTCTACATCTCTGATTAGATGCAAACATTGACAAGCAATTTTTTCATAATTAAAAATGCTTCTAATGAGACAGCTTATTCTCACTAAAACAACTTCTACATGGCATTGTTCCAAACCCTTCACTTATTAAATAATCATATATATTAATCATACATATATACACACATATAACTTTTTAAACTCTATTTTTTCAATGAAAACTTATTCCACAAAATTCTTTCCAATGCTTTTGCCCGCATGCAGAGCACCCTCTCTTCACCCACGCGCTAACTCATCTTCCTGAAGGATTGATGTACTTCTAGTTTGACCTTCTGCATGTAGCACTGCTTGGAACTGCCAGGCGGAGCTCAGGGCCAGCTTCATGGGCAGAAGACTCAACTGTGCAGTCACAGTGCTCAGAAGGGCCTTGTGCTTGGTTTACTGCTTTGCTGTTGCCATTTTGAAATTCTAAATAATGTTTGAACAAAGAGCCCCAAATTGTCATTTTGCATCAGGTGCTGCAAAGTTAGTAGCTGGTTCTGACACAGATGGAGAAGAAAGGAAACAGTGAGAAAAACTAAAATGTGACAGAAAGAGTAATAGGGTAGTCCAGTTTAGGGAACTCCAGGAGTGACTGAGCTGGCCTGTGGAGGGTCATTTTGGAAAGCTGGAGAGCAGAGCATGTAGCTGCAGAGGAGCCATTTTAATGGGAGAGACAGATTCTAGAAAGGGGAGATTTGCTAAGGAATCCTATGAGGCTGGCACTGTCAGATTCAGGCTGTCAGGGCTTCAGAGAGAGTATTTTCAATATGAAGGCAAGAAGTTAGTCCTCCAACATAGGAAGGGGACCAGGCTTCCTAGAGCCAGAGAGCAGCCAGAGAGTAAAACTGACAAGTAGAAAAACCTGACCACTGAGCTAGTGGAACACAGACTGGAGTACATCATTCACTTATTTATCCCTTCCCTCAATATACATATATTGAGTATCTAATGTGTATGCACTGCGTTAGTTTCTGGGCAATTCCAGAGATGATAATGATTCCGTTCCCGTTCTGGGAACTCATAATTTATGTAAGAAGAGGAAGACATGTGAATAATAACATCATTTGATTAATGTTACTGCAAAGATTGATGTTACCTACTGTGGAGTAGGGACAAGGGGAATGGACAAGGTTTGGGAAGGTTTTATGAAAGGTGCTCAGACTATACTCCAGTTTCTCTTCAGATTGTATAAATCTTTCACCTTTTACTGAAAGGTGCCCAGACTAGGACTTGAAGGATCAACAGGCAGTCACTGAGTTTAAAAAAAAAAATGAAAAGAACATTTGGGCAGAGGGAATAGTGTGAGTAAATACACAGAAATGACATCATGGGGCATTTGGCTACCAATGAGAAGTCAAAACAGCCAAGGCAGAGGGTGCCAGGCAGAGAACAGCATAAACGGGTGTGCAAAGACAAGCAAGGTTTGGTTACGGCAAACATTGAATGCCACACCATGGAGCCTGAATTTTACCTCAGGTATATGGGAGAGCCTTTGAAGGTCTTAAGCAAAGAAGAGGCAAGATCAGATCTGGGGGGATATGGGGAGATGTTGTTTGCTGCAATGCAGAAATGGTCTCTAGGAAAGAGTGACTGAAGCATGCTGAACAGTTAGAGAATTACTGATGGCTAAAATTCAAGCAAAGGATAGTGAGAGCCCAAACTCAGGCGACAGCAGAGTAAAGGGTGGGGAAGAGGACAGAAACTTCTCTTAAAGGTAGAATGAATCATACAGTTGACTCATTGGATGGGATGGGGGCAGGGAGGAACAATTAAGCCTTCTCAGGTTTCTGATTTAAATATTTGGGTTAAAAACATTATCATTAACCATGAAGGAGAATAAAGGAATAGGAAGATAAGGAAATGAGTTGAATTCTGGACATGTTAAATTCAAGGGCATGGCTAAATATGTTCAGCAAAGCCCTGTGCTAGAGATTTGGAAGTCAAAGGAATCTAGATACATTGGTGCTTATTGGAATTAAGGGCATGGATAGGATTACCCAAAGAACGGATGCAAAGCAAGAAGCTCTTGGGAAGACTGTTATTTAGGAAGTGGGTGGAACGTGACAACCTAGTGAAGGAGGCGAGCAAGGAGCTATTGGAAAGGGAGAAGGAGAACAAGTGTGGTGTGGTTTTTCCCTCCCATTTGCTGTCTTTCTTGGAAGTTGACTGTATGTATGTCCCTGCTTGCTGCAAGTCTCTTGATGTCAGGCTTGGGCCGCGTGACTGGCTTTGGCCAATAGAATGTGAGCAAAGGCGATCTGCACTATACTCAAGCAGAAGTGTATGCATCGGTGTTAGCCCTTTTTTTTCTGCCATAGGTCGTCTGTTCCTTCATCCTGGATCCCTAAATGCAGACGGTATATGGAGCAGAGCTATATCTAACCCTCAGCTGCTGTAAAATTTGAGCATAAAGGAAAATCTTTATTGTTGTAAGCCATTGAGATTTGGGGATTATTACTTGAATGTAACCTACCAAAAGCTGACTGCTGCAACCGGAAAAGAATAATGTCTCAGAAAAGAAAACATTTTGAGAACAAGCGAGTGGTCAATAGGGTCAAAAGTGACAGAAAGGTAATTAGGTGTCTCAATAGGTAGGTTAACGGTGATCTTAGCGGGAACAGCTTTAGTGCTGTGGCAGAAGCTGGAGCCGGATTGCTATGGATTGAGGCATAAATGGGAGGTGAGTGGGTGGAGATGATCAGTGTGGATTACTCGGTTAATGATGTTGACTCTGAAAAGAAAGATACAGAAACAGCTTAAGATGGAGATAGAGCGGGAAGAAAACCTTATTCAGGATAGAAAAGATTTGAAACTGCAGAGAGAAATTTGATGTAAATGGAGAGACTGAAATTGCATTGAGCCTCTTTGCCTGAAAACATTTGCACCTCTGATTCCCTCAGAATATTAAAAATAATGATAGCAAACCCATAGTGCTCACTAAGTGTCTTGCACTGCTCTGACTGCCTTGCATGTATTAATTTATTTGCTCTTCAAAGCAACTTTATGGAGTAGATACTGTAGTCATGATTCCCATCATACAGATGAATAAAAGAAGGCATAGGGAGTTTGATTAACTTATCCAGATTTCACACAACTAATAAGTAACAAATGGAGGCCATTCAGTTTCAGAGAGCAGGTCCTTCACTACCATGACAGGTTGCGTCTCACAGAGATATGGAAAGATTTTGAGCTATAAGGATGGTCTGGGAAGAGGATATGCCAAAGATGGGCTATATGCATTACAGATGAGAGATGTGGCAGGGAAGTATAAAGACAGTGCCTCCGGGCTGGGCACGGTGGCTCACTCCTGTAATCCCAGCACTTTGGAAGGCCTAGGTAGGCAGATCATGAGGTCAAGAGATCGAGACCATCCCGGCAGCATGGTGAAACCCTGTCTCTATTAAAAAATACAAAAATTACCTGGGCATGGTGGCACATGCCTGTAGTCCCAGCTACTTGGGAGGCTGAGGCAGGACAATTGCCTGAACCCAGGAGGCAGAGGTTGCAGTGAGCTGAGATCATGCCACTGCACTCTAGCCTGGCACCTGGTGACAGAGTAAAACTCTGTCTCAAAAAAAAAAAAAAAAAAAAAAAAAAGAGAGAGAGAGTATACTTCCAAAGGAGAAAGTTCTGGCTTCCTAGAAAGTGGAACTGGAATGTGATGAGCACTGAGACTTCCATTTGGGGTACCAGGCTGGTTTGCTCACAGCCTCCCCTCAGCCCCTGTCAGCTGGACTGGAATTGGAATGTGAGAACAATTAAATGAAGAGGGGAAAATTAGATTACAAGGGGCTGCAGAGGAATCAAAGGATGGGAGCAGAGGAAGCCAAGCTCACTTTTGTGGGGCACTTGTGCTCATGATATGCCCAGCGCTGAGCCAAAGCCAAGAGCTCACAGAAAACCCGGCTGTTTCTCAAATAAGTTACTCAGGATAACGAGCAACATGGTCATAAAGAGGCTGCTTTGACACAGGGGTGAGGTTAAGTGGGGTGTACGTCAATGGCTAAGGAGAAACAGGCTCCAGTGCGACAGAATCTGCTAGTGTAGCGCCCATCAAACATGAAGCAGAATTGCTGGCCATCTCCCATCTTAAAGATGTCCTCTGTCCACTGTCTCTTTGTGAGGATCAAGGCACAGCTAATGGGATGTGGAACTTCCCTCCAACCTGGATTAAAGGTGGGGAGGCCACGAGGGCAGAGTTGCTTTTCAGAGTTCAAAGCTGGAGAAATCTAAAATGATAGCACACAACCAAGTACCCAAGAGTGGCATGCCTTTCAGGAGGCATTTCAAAGTGTGAGTGGCCTTTCATCACTATCGAGTCTACGGTACGTGGTGTGAGTTGTCAGATCACCCCATGTCAGCTCAGTGTTCAGAGGATAGTGTGAACTGGAGAGGATTCCTCTGGCCTCTTCAGAAGTCTGAAGACTTCCCTCCATTGCAGGTAAAGATACACAGGCACGGGGAGCAGGCGAATTTCTCAAGATTGGCAGTGAGCTGAGTAAGGCGAGGGTCATGGAAGTGGGCGAGTGGGCACAGACTCACCTCGAGCTGGCCAGAGTTGATTTTGTTCTCAGATAAGGAGTAGCTGGAGGCCAATGAACAATTGCACTGCCCTGCAAAGTGCACGACACTTTCCCCCTTCCTTCTTTCCTTTGCACTTTGTATAGTACTTTGTCTTCCTAGCTCATCCCAACGCTCCAGTTAGGAGCTACCCCTATCCGGACAGGCACAACACAAACATTAGCTGTCTTATGTATGGCAGAGGTCCTCTGTCTTCCAGTAGGCCCCTTTGCCTCTTGCAAGCCTGCATAGCAGACTGTGGACGCAGGAGCACCAGAGACAACT